AAAAAAAATTGTCATTAGAAATAATAAGATTTTGATTTGAAGTAAAGGAATATATTGTTTACTTTAATATAATTCCTTATTATCTTGAAAAAGGAATGCTTAATWATTATTTAAAAACAATCTTATTTCCCTTTGACATGCAAAAATTATATTTTGAGAAAACATATCTTTGGGCCTATTTAGAAATTATTCAAGTTTAGTTCATTAACATTTGTGTAGTTTAACCTTTAAATAGAATATCAAGCACATGAATGGCTTCCTTCTATGTGGTTTCCATAGTAACATCCAAGTGGAAGCCTTTTAACTGTCAAGAATTTTTTWAAAAATCTCACAGAATCGCTTCATATAAACTCCTTTTAAGAACATTGAAMTGGCTTTCTCGATTTTCATGTTTCTATGACATTTTTCAATTTATCTTTTCCACAACACCATTTTCAATTACCAATATAAGAAAGTGATTCGATTACATGGATCTTTTTGGTTTAACTGGTAATAGAGTRAATAATTCTCACACTTTGGTCGTGCTGTAATTCATTATATAATCTCTTTTTAGTCATAACTTGACCATTCAAAACCAAACAACAATCTCATGTTATCGATTTACAAATTAGCAAAAWTGGAAATTCAAATTTTAACACATAGAAAAAATATATTCATATTCTTGTCCAATTTTTTTAAATATTGTATAAGAATATGAAGTTCTTTTAATTTATTTACTCAATTTAGAGTTAAATTATGTCCGCGATAAATCTTACACGCTAAACCTTACGATATTGAAGGTCAGCTTCCCGAGGGACCGAATTGTAAGCTATCCTGTAGTTTTTTTTATTAAAAGTCCACCATGCCCAAGATAAGAGACGAAGAAAAAAACAAAACATAATCTGATCATGGCGTACTAACAGTATGTGGTCTATGCTTTGCAGTCAGTGAGGCAGGCAATATTTTATATACTTGCTTACCCTAATTCTTCTCATCGAGGCAACGATTTCAGCTCTGCTACTTGGTTTAGAAATCTCTTTCGTACCAATATACTGTCACAATGGGATTAAGAAAACAATCAGACGTCAGTTCATCTCACAAGAAGAGATTTTTCAAAGCACAACATTGTTTATTATTCTAAGCTAAACATCAGTTCGTACATGGCGTCTTGKGTATGCGAGTAATAATGATGTACTCAAATACCAATATGTGGTTAGTCATTCCCGCCAAACTTGACTATATTAAAAGCTGACGCCGGGAATTTAATGATATTCCCTAGCTCTTGAAAAATTTATCAGTACGTACCTTAACTTTAAACCTAATTCCGTGCTCAAAAGCAGCTTCATTATGTACAGGAACCTTACTATCGAAGGTTTCTTCAACCAGATCGTACGTATGGCGTCGAAGTTTCCCCGGCATCTGGTCTTGCGAGCGGATCGTAGCAACCGCTATATTGCTGATAGATGAATACAGTCACTAGAATCCATTATACGACCACTGCCACAAGATCAAATTTAAGAACTTCTGGAAATATTCACTCCATTCTTGACTTGTAGCTTGTTACCTTTTATAATATCGTATTTGYGTAATTCTGGTCATTTAATCGGCCTTTTGAAGGCGGGTCCCTTCAGGCATCCCGGAGTCGTCCCGTAACGGCGTCGGTTAGTCGTCGGGTAAGGGCTGCGACGCTAGAATGGACTCCGACTTTAATWTATTCAAAGTAATTTGTTTGAACCGCAGGATTCCGGATGAAAAATTGAATTTGAAAGAAAATACACATACTAGTCTTTTATTGATAAATCTGTTAGCGCTATTACTTTCATTTYGTAAGAGTAAAAGTCAATTATTGCTGTACGAAATGTGTCCTTATTAACAGACTTTTAGCTTTATCGCAAAACATAACGAAAAAAACCATGCAAAACATAACGAAAAAACCATGCATTTAGCAACCCAATATCTCTTTATTGATTATGTTTGGCCTTTCTTTGTAGTGTGTACGGAAGCGTTTATATAGCCGCGCGCGCGCCCATTTTATCACATGCATAAGGTCGTAAAGTTTCACGGAAGCGCAGCACGCTGTGAAGTTAATAACGTTCACGCGTTATCACGATTGAATATTTACACAATATTATTCACATGCATGAGAAAGTCGATAATTTGACTCAGAAACCCAAAATAAAAGATCTATTTTAAGTTATAAAAGAGAATCTCAAGAGACAAAGATTCTATTCATTAAGTAATTAACAATTAGATTTAATTAGTAGGTGACGTACGATTGGTCCTTTGTTATCAAAGGTTTACTAATTGTCGTGTAAGCCTAAACACAGCACTGTAACGGGGTGTCACGCTAGTCGTATGCTTTAGATCTTCATTCTACCATAAAACTACACAAGGCAGGATGAACAAGACCAAGAAATCTTCGTTAATGACGCCAGATCCTTACCATATCCCGGGGTACGTTAATGATGCTTCAAAATTAGATCACAATAAGACAATCACAAGTGTGAAATAGTCTTATAGTTTAACACACATTCTATTAGAGTATATAAGTTGTGAAAACCCAAAGAATTCATTCAGGATATTGGATGTACTTTTTATCCTCTTCATAGGTACTGTGGATATTGCCCTCAATTCAAGTATGAAATCGGAGAGACATTTGGACGAACTACTTCAAGTCTGCTCACCAGTAACACTGTGTGTAGTTCAGGTAAACCAGTGTTAGCAAATATCGAAGCCGAWCTGCCACCAAAACAAGACAACAGAAGAGCCACTATTGCAGCAAGAACATTTAGTATTGGCGACCAGAAACTCAGTGATCAAATGGTGCCAGGATATACAGGTAAAGGAATATTAAACTCTAAACAAATCTATTACAAATGCCTTGTTACATCACCTAGTGTTTATCCCTTCAGCTCCATGTTTGCTCGTTGAGGGATTTACCGATAAGTCTGTCACTTATTTGTGTACCACAGATTAACTTGCTTAAGAATATTAAGATTCAAACTGACGAGAAATAAGAAAATCGGCCTTCTCTGATCGGATAACGCGTGGATTCGCACTAAAATGGCTTCCCTTAAATGTTTTTCGCGGTAYTGATTATTCCTGCTTAATGGTTTTCTCGGCATCAAATGAGCTAAAAACCTCAGAATTTGCTGAAATATTTTAGAAGCATTATGATATATATTTTAATAGTTTATTTAGAAAGAATTCGAGTTCTTTTCGTCTTTTTTAATACTCAAAGTTGATTTTTATCTCCAACAAGAAGTTGAGTTTACGTTTGGTTACCAAGGCGACGCTATCGTCTAATGTTTCCGGCAGTTCACAGACATAGTTACGCCGTAATTTTCTTTTTTTTTTTAGCAGACAACAGCCAAAGCTTGACTTTCTATTCATGAGGCCAAATTGTATACCGTACGTTGTCTTTTACGACTGATAGTGAAGGAACTGATTTGAACAAAGACTCACTGATGGTTGTTTTCTAAGCTAGTTGTATCATATCAGGTTTTTATATAGGTATATTTGCTTCTTTGCTTGATATAGAGTCGTGGTCGGCTAGATTACAGCGCCTGATTCTATAGCACTATAAAATATATTTTTTACGCCGGATGATACAAAAAGCCAGTGAATTTCGAGCGAAGAGACCGATATTCTCTGTATCCATTACCGTTATATTATCGGCTGTACGCATCACATGTATAAAGGGCTCCTTAAAAGAGACATTGCCGGCAGTCTGCTTGATCTCAAAGCAGAGGCGCGCGAACCTTGTTTAGTATGTGACTTTTGCTACCATCTTTAAAAGATAGTGAGTAATGGATCTTGTGTTTTATTTGATCAGGATATATTCCCAAAGCGGAACACTACTATGGSAAATCTTATGCAGAAACATCGAGAAGTGCAATAGCYAGTTTTCAGAATGACCAGCTTGGTCATCATAGAGATGCGAAAAATCTCCGAACAATTGCCRATCTTCAACGAGGAAAACAKGTCCTTCCCGAACTCGTCTCGGATAAAACTCGRGTCATTTCTAAATATAGAGTTCCAYTGAAACCAATAGCTGCGCATCCCGAGGAATACTACTCGACGAAGGCCATGCAACATTCCTTGTCTCCATTCATACTTAGCAACGACGACCCAAAGAAATTCCTCATGTCAGGATACACGGGATTTGTCCCGCTGTCCCGCGGGTACATGGGGATGGGATATCCYTCGTTGACAAACAAGGCTTTGTGCAGCTTTTCTGACGAGACAGCAAGAATCAAGGCAGTTCAAGATCAGCCAGTTGTGATCAGAAGACCAGGYGTAAAGCCCGTGAAGACAAGTACGATATATGAACTGCAAAACAGTGGTTTGGTACCACATTACACTGGGCACGTTCCAGGTTAGTCATACCCGWTCTGCTCTATTTTAATGTAACAGGGAGGAAAAGGGCTTCATTCACTAGTTTTCTTCTTACATCGCTTCTGTTATCATCTACAGAGCATCAACACGTGAAGTGGTTTTTTCATGCACACGTATTTTTTTGTTTTCTCAGGAGAGAAGTTCCGCTATGGCATGACGTTTGGTTACAGCACACAGTTCGCWCAGAAAGCCCTGACAGCTTGAAAACAACTCCAGCCGCCTGGTGAAGTAATCGATGCAACCATATGATGATTTCCTTTACTCAACTTACAGATTRTAAATGTTTGCGTTAAACGAATCTACTTATTTTAGAAGTAACGAATGTTTTTTTTTTTTTTTTAAAAATCTAACAGTTATCAAAACCAACAGAATAACAAACCGTTGTTGGTATCTGTGTTAGAATAAAATTAAAATCTTTTAAATATGGAATGTTTTTCTAATGTATATTAAAAATCRGAATCTTCTGCCGCGTGAACACTTATTGCTTGTTTTGTCACGGGGGAGGGGAGGGGAGGGAGCGAACAAGTCAAGCGTTTAGTAATATCAAGTGTTTCTTTTTTTCACGAGGTTACTCGCTCATCCACATCTGAACACTTAACGAGAAGTCGAAGCAAGAAATACAGCTAAAAGACTTTTTAAATAGATTTCTTGCACATTTGATTACTTTCCTTTTAAAATATCATTTCTGATCTTGTTCAACGGGGACTCGTCAATATTTAATGCGCGCGCAACATGAGAAAGATCTAGTATWATTACCTACAAGTATTTAGACATCACTGTACACTGTGCTAACCAACCATTACAAACACATTATATATTTTGTATTAACAACTGCATAAATCAGAGCATCATACTATCATCTGAGGCATTTAAGAATGGAAAAGAAAAAGGGCTAATTCCGAGTCGTCCTCAGCTGCGCACCGCTCGACCTTCAAGTAAAAGACATCAAGGAAGGAATTTTTCCCGCGCAAGGTGAAAATGAACGTCGTTTCAGCTTTTCTAATTTAAATAATTACAGACTAGGATTCAATAGGTCATACAGTTAAACCGCACCCATTATACTTCCATGGCACGCCAGCTAGTAATCACAGCCCATATGACTAAATCAGCCAATCAGTAAGCGGGAAGACAAAACAAAAGCGTATAATATAGGACTTTGTCTCGTCCAGCCTTCATTTAGAAAACTCCAGCCAAGGTTAGAAGAACCGTTAAAACATCGATTCCCAAACGGTTAGTATACTATACTTGTAGTGTTATTAGATATATGAGAATGTGCCTAAAGCTATGTATACAATATCTCTGGCATTCCATTTTTCAGTATATTYATAATCTTTTTTTCACTGGATAATGTCATTGATAATTGCGCACAGTTTTTGATTCGGTTGTACCGTTGACTCCACTGTTTGCGCCAAATTAGTTGTCACGCACTATTTGCGCCAAATTAGTTGTCACATACTATTTGCGCCAAATTAGTTGTCACGCACTAATTGCGCCAAATTTAATTACTTTTGGTGCCAAAAAACCTTTTTTAGTTAGGAGATGATTAAAACTAACTTACTTGTTTGTCACCAGAATAAAAAAAATGAAGGCTATCGTTGTCATGGTGTGTTTTGCTGTTTTACTGGCTGTTGGTATGGATGGTGCAGAGAGTGGAAGAGTAGCTGTTCCTGACTTGTTTGACGATCAACAAGAAGACGATTACAAACGGCCATTAAAGCGATGTAGAGATTTTGGTGGTTGCGAGTATGACTGGGAATGCTGTAACAACAGATGTTACTATGGACACTGCGGCTAACTGCTGAWACTTGTTGGATAGATTTAGTCCATAGTCGTTAAGTAAGCCATCGAATACCTCCTTTATGACTGATTAGAATTTTGAAGTCTTTATCATAAGATGTGTGTCTGTYGTGTTTCATGCTATAGAGCATGGTATCACTAGAAACACAGATTAATTTATACCATTGGACGATGTAAAGTAGAAAAATCACATGTAAGTAAAGATTGTTAACGACCGATGATAGATGAGATAAAACACAGTTAGATAAATTTATCTTGTTGGGTGTTTTGTATTCATAATTCTAGCTGCAAGTAACCATGCTGGGACTATTACACTGCAATGATATCGAAATCTAACTAGTACTAAAATAAAATAACATTTGTATTCAATGTCTCTTTCGTCAWGTTGTCATCCCCACCCATCCCCCCATAAGATCATTGTCTGTTCTCAGTCCCAGTATCCTAGTATTCCAGCATGGCAACATAACTCAGGGGCCTGGTGCAGGGTTACATGGCCGGGGTCTTGCACGCTCATTACTCCTACAGGGCACTATCCCTCCAGTTGTTTCACGCGCTTCCTCRTGCCAGCCTCCAAACAAACGCTTATGACGAGAGAGCCTGGAAAGAAAATAATTTGCCTGGTTGCTTTTCTCTGTGATTTGTCTTGCATCGATTTCTGAAATAGATGAAAGTGAAAAGGAAAATGTACGTTTAAATGAATTTGTCCAATCAAAAGTACTTGTACTACTGAATTTAGACAGACTATATACGGTCAGATGTGATAAAAAGCATTGCATTTTGAGAGAGGAATTACGTTTGTAGTTTGCCCCCGAAAAATAAATAAAATTTCATGCAATTCAAGATGCTATTCCAATTTTGAGTCTTAATTTTTTGTGCAAAATTTTAGAATTAACAAAAACATCTTTCACGGATATGTTAAGGATGCATTGGTCCATGCGCTAAGCACCACCTATAGTTTTTGCGATCCAAGATCTATGTTTTCCGATTATAAAAATAATAAATCTTGATTTGTGGCAAAATTTCAGCATAAGACTATTAGTTATGAATATTAAGATAAAAATTATGAGACAAAAACTGCAAATTCGACAAAAAAGTCTTTTTGCGATCCGCACGATCCAGGTAATCGAAGTCCAGTCCATTCCAGCTATGCACGGTTCCAAATTTTCCAAAATAAAAAATCTCTCATAATTCAGAATCTAGAAGGATAAATCAAATTTTAATGGTTGGACATGTTTTTGCTATACATTCAGATTATTTACACCTTGTCAAAGACCTAAAATTACAAGATTTTTTTTTGCGATCAAAGATCCAATCCGTAGAGGACAAGATCCAATCAACCGTTGTCCTGTCTAATCTCCTTACGATTTCCGGTTCTCCAAAATGAAATAAAAATTCTCTTAAAATATCAAAATCAGCTTTTACTATAGACGGCAACTGATTATAGTT